ACATCAGGGTTTATATTATTCATTTTCTTGTCCTTGAAAATTATTTCTCAGATTTCAGCCTCAGGGCTATTTAAAGAACACTGGCTGGTCATCTCTCACAGACCTGTGTCATAATACAAAAATTGAAAAATATGTCATTACCTTAAAAAAAATGTTACTTAAGACTTTCTTCAGGAATGAGTTTTCTGATGTCCAGACAAGGGTAGAGCATTTCCTGAAATCATTTCCACCCTCATTAAAAGGACAGGGTTTCCCTTCCACCACGTTCTCAGTGTTCCATTAGGTCAGTCTGCTGACGGCCTTTCCTCACTCATTACATTCATGTGGCTTTTTGCCCATGTGACTTATCTGATTCACAGTAAGAGCTCTGTCTAAAAGATTTCCTACCTTGACTACACTTATAGGAATTCTCTGCAATACGAGTTATTTGACGTTCAATAAGGGGAGAATTCTAATACACTGAAAGCTTTCCTACACTCGTGTCACTCACGAGGTTTCTCTCCAGTATGAATTCTCTGTAACAAAGTGAGAACTCCAACTGAAGCCTTCTCTCCAGTGCAGATTCTTTGATGCGCAGTAAGGACAAAGCTCAGAAAGATTTCCTGCATTGACTACATAATAAGGCATCTCTCCATTAGGCTTTCTTTGATGTACACTGAATTCGAGGATTTGACTGAAAGATTTTCCACGTTGATTACAACAGAACAGTCTTTCTTCAGTGTGAGTTTTCTGATACCTAAGTAGTTGAGGCCTCCTACCGAAAGGTCTCCCATCTCCATATTTTATAGGTCTCTCTCCAGTATGAATTATGTAATGTCTAACAGGTTGGGAGGGATGGCTGAAAGACTTACAGTGTCTATTACATTCAGAGAGTTTTTCTTGGCTATGAGTTCTTTAGACTATTGATTAAATGTAACTGATACATTTCCTGAAATGGAAGCATTCTTGCATTCCTGAAATAAACTCATCATAGTTTCATTCTTTTGATACATTGCTGGATTTGGTTAAATAATTTATGTTCAACTTAGTATTTACACTCATAGATAAGGCTAGGTGATAAGTTTGTTCTTTTATCAGATGTGGGAATTACATTATCTTCATTTAATAATTTGTGAGGCTGTCCCTTTTCTTTTGAGGTAGAATTGTTTAATATTTAGAATTGTTTATTCCTTAAAAGTTGGATTCCAAGTTAGCCTTAAAGTCTCCTGGGCTCTGTGCCCATGTCTCTTCCATGAAAACTGTTCTATTTGAGTTCTCTGCTTCTTCCTGGGTCACTTTTGTTCATTTATATTGGGCAAATTTCCTTAGAGTTCTGTGTAATAGTCTTATAATTCTTTTACTCTTTTCTGCACCTGTGGTCATCCACTTTCTCATTCATGATATTTTTGTCCTCTTCCCGGTCAGGCTAGTGAGGGGTTTGTCTATTAATCTTTACAAAGAACCAGCTTTTAGACTTATTCCTACATTTCCATTTGTATTTCATTAGCTTTGGCTTTAACCTTAAATAGCTTTAATGAATTTCTACTTTATCTTTGGCTTAATGTGCTGTTTTCCAATACCTTAAGACAAAAAATTAATTCCTTTCTTTTGATAATTTCACTTTAGTAGTATAAACATCAGCCCACATACCGAGTGCTGCGGCAGGGTATCGAGAGCATCACGGACCCATGTTGTCCTTGGCTACACCTCGTGTTAGGCCGTAGTCTTCTCATGATGGCTGCTACACACCCAGGGTGTCACATCCATGTACAAGGATATACAAGGGACAAAGAGATAATTGAGTCTTCTAAATCATGCACAAACCTTTTGCAAAACCTCCAAGTGCACCTCCTCTCATGACCATTGTGAGAACTGGACATGGGCCAACAACTTTGTGGAAACCGGGAGGACAGGTATGAGGGCCAGCCTTCTGGCTGCCATATCACTGTAATCTATTTTGATTTCTTGGTTCAGAATTTGGGCTTCTAAACACTGATGGAGCCAAAAGTCACCCAGTAGTCTGGCTGAGGGCTTGGCACAGTTTCCTCTTGGATTCCCTATAATCAGTTGTACACAATCATTTACACTTTGCTGTCACATTTCTACTGGAACAAAATATATCCTGCTACTACACGTATGACTGTTCCTGGAATCCACGTCTTCATACAGGACCATCACCGCCCACACCCAGAGCCAGACATCAACAAAGTGCTTCCGCCTGCTGAGTCCACGCCTGACCGTCTCCCCTTCCTTGAATCACATCTTCCTTCTATCTCTGGGCCCTGTTCGTTTGTTGTTCTTCCCCATAAGTCCCATGATTCTAATTCTAGACATAAATATGCCCCCCACCCAACTCTTTTGTGTCCCTTGAGGGATTGTTTCAAACTTGACACTTGCCTCCAGTTAAGTCTTCACATATGCAATTATCCTGAGTGATGTTGGAAGTGGTGGTAATTGTGGATGAGGAGGAGCTGGAAGGGGGTGAGGACTGTGTGCTTTGGTAGCCGCAGAGCCCAAGTGGCTGGGCACCCTCCCACTCATGCGCTGCTCTGAGAAGCCCCAGTCATCACTAAGTCCTGTTTCACTCTGACCCTTTCAGATAGCCCAGGAAGATCACTCTAACCCTTTGTGTTCCAGCCTTCACCTTTTATGTTCATTGGCAACATTTTTCCAACTAAAACCTAAGCCCCTGGGGCTGGTGGGTGATTTCCATAAGGACACTGAATTCTCTTCTGCAGGCATTCAAGGTTTGCTCACAGAGCAAATCACTAAATGCACGTGCATCTCCCCGTTCTGCCTCTCACGAGCTGTGCATGCTGAGGCAGGGGCCTCGAGCTTAGACAGGCTGCTCAGCAACCCTGGGGCCCTCGCTCCAAACACCTGTGGGCCCCAGCAGACTCTCCAGCGTCTGGTCCGGCCATCTTTTCACCCATCATCCCCAGCACAGTTTAGGCTCATCACTATATTCCCTCTCCCTTCTCCCCTTCCAGCAGAGATTCTGGATGAAATCCCAACTTAAATGTCCATCAACTGATGAACTGGATAAACAAAATGTGGTCTGTCTGTACAGTGGACCATAAAATGGAATAAAGTATTGACCCATGCTACAAAATGGATGAGCCTTGAAGACATTATGCTCAGGGAAGGCCAGACGCAGAAGGTCACAGATCGTATGATTCCATTGGTATGAAATGTCCAGAAGAGGCAAAGCCATAGACAGAAATTAGATGAGTGGTTGCCAAGGGTGGGTGAAGAAAAAATAGTGACTGGTAATGGGCACAGGGCTTCTTTTGGGGTGATAAAAATGTTCTGGAATTAGTGGTGATGGCTGCACAACTTGGTGAATTAAAGTCAATGAATTCTATTTAAAACAGTGAACTAAGTTTTAAGAAGTCCCACTCCAAGTCCAAATCTCTGCTCATCCACAGACAGGCATCTTAACGAAACTGGTCCGATACACAACCATGCCGACAAGTTTGCCTTTCAGCAAGTGGCCCCCAAACCTCAGGGGTCCTGGGTGAGCTGCCCAGCAAGCCCATCTCACCCACTTGACCCCCTGAGGAACAGAAGCCCCAGCATCCTCTGTGACCTTACCTCATGGAAGCCACATGGCCCGATTTACGGCGACCTTACTGGGTGAAGACACAAGCCCGGCCAGACCCTAGGAGGGAAGGCGTGGCAAGTAATTCGTTGTCACATTTGAAACTGCCACAGATGGGAAGAGCCACCTCTAGTGGTCACCTTCTGGCAAGAGTAGCCTTTCAGGATGAAGGGACAGCTTGAGGATGCCTGTGGGTGGCCCTGGGCAGCAGGGCCGGGCACCATGGTGAGGCCACTCCCAAAGTGCACGAGCGGGCCCGCATCATCAGGACTGGGAGGAGCTGGTGTCCCCATGGAAACGGCTCCCTCTCTCCGGGAGATCCCGGCTCTCCGGCGGGAGGGCAGCGGGGCCCTGGGCAGGCCCTTCAGCCCTAGATGCTCTCACCTCGCAAAGGAGCTTTCTGTTAGGGTGCAGGCTTCCGAGGCTTCCCCAGAGAACAAACTACACAGGCATAGAGATGTAAATTCAAGCAAAGTCTTTATTCAGCTAACTAGTTGGGGTCCAAGTCAGCCCGATGCAGTGGGTCTCAACAAGGACCCCAAGCACTCAGAGCCAAGGGTTTATATAGCAATTTCAAAGCACTTAACTCATAGCAATTTTCTATAACTATACATTATTCTTGCAAGACATATATCCTGGGGTTAAGCAAGGGCAGGGTAAGACTACTCCTCAATGGTTAGGGAGGTTCTGCACGATAAGCTTGGTATGTAAGATTTACTGACCAAGGTTAGCTGACCAAGGGTCACAGCTGCCCACCACCCGGTGCTCATGATTAACTTGTTTTTCAAGGCCTTACCCAG